TGATATTGGGTAGTGAGCTGTGGGAGGATAAATTTGGTTCTTTGATTGGCCTTGTTAAATGTTTTATTTCGGATGTTTGGGAGCTAAGAAAGGTTAGGTTATACGGCGATAATCCCAGCGTACAACAGACCCAGTCTCAGATTGCGTCTGGGGAGCTGCCGGGTGTCACTGGTGGAAGAGGTGAGTTGAGGTGTCTGGGAGGTGAGACAGACACTTCCGCCCATTGCTCTGGGTGCGTGGTCTATGGCTATGGCAGCCACCTGAGTATTATCATTATTCTTTAAAGAGGTTCCTTACAAAAAGTTTTAATTTCAACTTGGGGAATTCTACTATGACACTTCTACTATGCCAAGAACAAGTAAATGTGTTTAATTAAAAATGGGCGTGCATACCCAGTGAGGGTTACAGTACTTGGTGTGTGTCTGTCTGTCTGTGTGTGTGTGTCTGTTGCCACGTTTACTATCTTCTACTGTAGCTAGCTCATGTCAGAATCTCTGCGAACTACTAGCGTGGAGAACATGAGTAAATGCATACTAATAGCCCAGCCCATCATTTAGCGGTACCACGCATGCACAGTTCGTCATATTCCTCATTAATGATATTCATTTGTTCAGGTCCCATACGTTTCTCTAGAAGGGAAAAAATAGCACGCATCCGGGCATACGTACGTGTGCAATTGTGTTACATTCCTTTTACTGTGTCAGTTTGACAAATTCTTCAGAGCCCAAAGGCTTCTGCATGTCCTGTTCGTGAACATGTGGCTAACATGCCAAACGGATTTTCAAGAGTTGTTTGCTGCGATCAATTTGTCAAAATGACTCTGTAGAACGCGAGTAATGAAAATGCGCACGTATCGGTGTGCGACTTCTGATTAATGCACATTTTTCTGCTCCTATACAAACGTATAGGACCCGAACTCATGAGGCAGTTTACTTTTGTATACTTTTGTTATAATTATTGTAAGTCATTGTACCATTTTTATTGTTGCTAGATCCAGTTATAGGAACTAACATTATTTACAAGTTTTTTTGCTTGAGGTTGTCTTTGGAGGATTAAGTGTAGATCCTACACAGGGCAACTCTTCTTTGAAAAAAGAGCTTTTCTGGGTGTGGTTCACTTGTTTGTTGCGCCTTTGCCTTTCTACCTCGTAATTCCACATGCATGGATATACTCAATTTGGAGTTGTTCGTCTTTGGTCGGTCTCCTCCTACATACTGAGTATATAAGAGTATCTTCTTCCATAGCGGAGTGTTTTGAGGTTTGCCTTTGTGTTGTATTGTGTTGAAGATTCGAACCACTACCAGCTGGTAGCTCAGTTGGTACAGTGCTCAGCTTTGACTGCAGGGTGTCGTGGATTGGAATCCCACCCAGCTCTTCTGAAATAAGAGCTGTCCTGGGTGGTTTAGATGTTTGTTGTGCCTTCGCGTTTCTACCTCGTAGTTTCACATGTGTGTTAGATGAAACCAGCTACGCTAAAGAGTCTGTACACATTTGCCTTCCTGTGTGTTAGTAGGCTTTTTCAGGTAGCTGATTGGCGAGCGGGAGCGAGCTAACCTAGTGGTACGAACGGCGTGGATTTTATTTTATTTGTTTAAAATTTATTTATCTAAGACCGTACGTCGTCCAACTGCGCATGCTCCAGGTTTACGCGCTTCTTTTTATCCGAAAGGATTTCAAAATTTCACATGCTGCCTGCCTGTGGAGGCCTGTGATGATGTCGTGCGTATACATGTGCATATAGTCTGCTTCGGTCGTCGAAGTGAGTGGGAAAGAGAACATCGTGCCCGTGAGACTCCTGAGCAGAGAGGCTCGTTTGTATCAGCGTCGCTTTCGTGATAGGGAACGCGCACATTTTTACACGCTACCTAGCTGTCATATCGATGCGAAATATAGCCAGCCAAACAACTCTCGTCTATTTGCTGCCCTCTTCGAAACCTAACCGAGGCTGTCTATACCTCCTTCCAATCTTGGTGATTCTAAGGTTCAAGTTGTAGGATGGCTCATGCAGACGAGTCATTGTGTGCTCGCTCCCGCTCGCCACAAATGCCATGCATTCGCCTACTAGTAGTGAGGATGAGTGTGCAGCTGGTGTACCTAATGTCAGGGGGAATTTTTCATGCAGCAGAAATAGGTAGGGGAGCTTTCAATATTGATGTAGCAGAGCATGAACGTTCACACCCATTGTTATCAAAATCCATGTCAGTTGGTCATGTCATGGTTCTGTTGTATAACCACTAACTCTCACCCATCATCCTATTTAAGCTTAGTGTATAACTGCCAAAATATAATACTTTCTGAGCCGTGCTACATTGCTGTAGTAACTGGACAGGAATCTTGGGAGAGGGAGGGAAAGACAGTTGCTGTTGATTGCTATAGATGGTTAAGAATCAGGGTGTAGCTGAGGGTTGTAGCTTTTCACAATATTTACCCTCGGCGCGCATGCAGCGAGGGTACGGTAGTTGGGTCTGTGTGTGTGTCTGTTACTCTACATCTCACTTCTTGAGTGTTTGTTTGTCTCACAAAGGATATGACCTACTTAACGGAAGGTAAGAAATTTCAAACGGTTTTCTCTGAAACTGCACCGTTGCAAAGCTAGAGCGCGAAAAAGCCAATATGCAAATGCACAACGGACGATCGATCGGATATGTGTGCTCTGCGAGGTACCAGAAGATGCAACGCAGGGCGTGTATCGCCTCTCACATGCTATGTAGTAGTGTAGTTAGCCCGCATCAGAAGCTGGAAAGAGACTACGAGTAACAGCTAAACCTAAACCCAGCCCATCAATTAGTGGTACCGTGCATCATTTACTTACGTGTGCGCGTCACAATGCACCAAGGGTTTGCACTTCAGTGCTTTTCATGTGTTCTATGTTTATCAATGGGTTGTTCAAGATGTCGCTAGTTGAAGGGGCGAGTGGAAGTGTCTGGGAGGTTAGACAGACACCAGTGTGGCCGTATGTTCATTTGGTGTGAGTTAGTTTGTTAATGGTTTCACCCATTGCACTTGATGTGTTGCCCTAGTGCTATAGCTGCCTCCAAAGTATTATTGCTTTAGGTTTTGTTTTTTTTTGACCCTCAGCGTCCATGTACAGTACGTGGTCTGTCTGTTCGTTTTTCGACTGCTATTCTGGCATGCTATGTGGCTATGAGGCAACCTATATATGATACCAATGGCTTCAGAACTACGCAAACCAGAAAATTAAATGGCAATATTCATGTTATTAGAGAAACAGGCGAAAAGGCCAATGTCCTAACTGAACTTGCTTACCTCCACTGCTTCCTCTGTGTACCTCTGAGGAACAACAAGTCACAGCGAAGGGTGTGTACAAGTGCAGCATGTTATCTAGCTAACCACAGTGTCTTACTCTCTACAAGCTAGTAGCGGAAGATCACAAGTAAACACATACTTCTGGCAAGCCCATCAATTAACACAGTTTTCGCTCCCATATAATACGCTTGTCAGATTGGAATATGCTTATGCCACACAATTTATAATCTACATAAGAACTATTGCGTGCGGTATGATCGTTTCACCAGTGTGCAATGGTTGGAATAGAGATCAGAACAGTCGCCACGTGATTGTTGCTATGGACAAGATTTTATGTCTTGCTTGTGGTTAAATAAGCAATAGAGCATTTGAGAGTCGGTCACAAGCTGGCTACACTACTAGATAGCATGCAGTGAGTCAATACAGGATATGGCCATTTCCTCTTCTGTGTGGCAAAGACTTGTTTGGCCAGGAAGGCTAGCTTCAACTCTAGGTAATTCATGTGCAACAGTCTCTCCTCCACTGACCACATGCCGCCTGTTCGAGTCTCCCTGCATGTGGCCCCCAGCCCGCATCTGACATCAGGACCATGTCTGTTGATGGAGACATGATTCTTTGTCCGTTCCACTCAAGAAGGCTCTGTCTTGGGTCCTTCTTCGCCTCTGGCAGCAAGGGGCAGGATTTGTCGTAGCTCGAGTTCTTCCTGTGTGCCAGATTCCTTGTTTTCTGGGCCCGTCTTTAGGCACCCAGGTTCTTGGTGTAACATTTTTGTGTAGTCGCCACGCAAGTGGTTCTGGCAGATACACTGCAAAGTGTAAGCTTGTAACCAAACAACTGCATACTTAAGTGTTACAGGAGGGGAAATGAGGGCTAACTGTCATAGCCCTGATACTGCTAGCACTTGGTACCATGTCTACCCCTGTTTTTTTACAGGTTATACTGCGCGTCAAAGGAAATATGCGATTTAGACGGCCCGAGGGTCCGAAGCCGTCTAAATCGTGTTTCCATCAACAAGCAGTATAACCTATTTAGACGGAAGCCGTGCTGGCCGTTAAATCGTCCGAGCCCGTCGTCTTCCGCAAGACTCGCTCTCGATGGGGAAGCTAAAAAGGTCTTCGTTTAATTTACTTTTTGCATCGTAGAGATGCCTTTCATTGATGAAACATCAGATACAGCGAGCTTGAAGTCATCACAGTGAGCTCTCAGCGACAGAGCGAGTTTCTCAGCGCGGAAGCCTGCCACACCCCCATCGAAGACGTCATTTTTGGCAGGTGTCTCCGTGGAAACACACTTGGAAAATACGGGATTTAGAATCCACCATCTGATTTGTCAATTTGAATCTGCTGATGCCTAAACTTACATATACAATGCTTATGCATTTATTTGCCGCGCTGATGTAAGTAAACATGACCGTCAAGTGCTGTACGAGCTCTTTATACACAGTACAACCAACTGTTAGTGTTGGTGTGTAATTTTTGTACTGCTTGTCTTTATTCCATGGCTATTGACTTACAGAGGAAAATGATGGTTTACTATCATAGCCCTGTTGCTGCTATATACAATGCCTATTCCTGTATACTTACATATACAATGCTTATTTTGTTATTTGCCGAGCTCATGTAAGCAAACTTGACCTTTTAAGTGCTGTACCAGCTCTTTATGCACAGCACAACCAACTGTTAGTATTGGCGTGTAGTTTTTGTACTGCTTGTCTTTATTCCATGCTTCCTTTAGATATTTCATGAAGGAATCATCAGGAACAATCTTGTCAGTGCAGCAGGGTGTGTTTCGTACAAACTGCATGGACTGCCTGGATCGTACGAATGTTGTGCAAAGTTTGCTTGCACACAGAGCTCTTCAAGATCAATTGCAGGTGTGATAATTATGCAGGTCCAAATTTGTGTGGTGGTATTTTTGCTGTTATATGTGAAGGTTTTACAAGAACAAGGAAACGCTCATTAGAAATGCCATACTAATTGTGCTCGTTCAGTGCACTGTAAAGTTAGCCCATACTCAGTCCCTCCCACTCCAACAATGGGTGTTGTATCTCCTTTCAATGCCATTTTTTTTATATCCTTCAGTAAAATGATGGTGAAAACGGTATTTATGGCAGAATGTGTTCGAATCGAGAAATTGTGATTGGTCCACACCGGGTACTTGATATCCAATAGTATACTTGTCTTTTTTGACATTATCGCAATATGTAGGGGCTTTAACATCACTTATAAATTTGCGCATTCTACCACGTGCAACGAGACAACAAGAGGGATACCAAAAGGTTTAGCGCTACACTTTCTTCATTTCAAATTTTGCGAATTTCGTCAGTATTCGAGGTTTTAAAAAAGTGATTGTCGTGAAAGTACTGCGTTCAAACGTTATGGCGTGAAAAGAACAAACTAACATACAATTAGCACTGGCTTACCTGGACCTGATGCGCTTTGTCTGTGTACCTCTGAGGCTCACCAAGAACCCACAAGAAAAAGTGTGTATCTCCCGTATGCTCTGTACTGATGCAGCAGACTAATATTCTCCTGTGCATGCTCACCAACGGCTGTATATCTGCAATTTGATCGCTCCTCCTCGTCAAAATGCTTAGCATTCATCTAGTATATTTATGAGTTTGGATCCCATTTTTAAAGGAGCGGTAATATGCATTGAAAAGTTGTGCACGCATACGCACATTCGTGCGCAATTATGTTCGTTTTGTCAGTTTTTGCGCTCTACAGCTAAATTGACCCAGACTAGGTTAATTACACGTTGTGCAGGCATGGGAAAGGAATGTAAGGTATGCAACGAAGTGTGCGTCAATTTGAGCTATAGCGCCTTGAGGCTCAGAAACTGAAAGAGAGCCAGAAGCATCAGTTTTCTTGGTTCGTGGTTAGGCCTACGACAACGATCTGACCACTGCAAATCTACTGTGTTCTCAGCAGAAAGGTTTACTGGAGATGGCACCTCAAGAGCTGGATTTGTGTCCTTAATTTATCCCTCTTCGTCATCAGGTCTTCTACGTAGTTGTTAAACCTGCCGTGCTTGGTTGAAGAGAGTTTTTTTCAGATGCTTTTCCAGAACTCTGTTTCTCTTCGTACCATATGCTGGCTTTTCCCAAAGTCTAAGATACCAATTGCTTTGTTTCCTATTAACACCCACCCTCAAAGGTTTGAAATATCACATTTTCAGGTCACGTACATTGCTCTCTCTGAGTTTGGTAACTTTAGCGGCACACTAGAGGTAATGATATGTGACCGGTTAGTCTGTGGCATGAACAACGGAGCCATTCTGAAATGGTTGCTGGCGGAGCCCAAGCTCACTTACGCTAAGGCCGTAGAGATCACAGGGACAGCCGCTCAGAGTATCCGGTAGCTACGAGTGAAGTCAGAGAGTGACTTGACACAGGCGCAACCAACCCCTGCCATGAACAAGGCGAATGTGACACCGTCCGATAGTGGACCTACTTGTTACCACTGCAGCAACAAGGGACATACTGTGGCGAAGTGCATGATGAGTAAGAATTTTGCGCGGAGGAATCAACACCTATGAAGGACAGTTTCGATACACTAGGCTTCCGTTTGGCATCTCTCCCACGCCTTGCGTTATTAATGAGTCATTGAAAAGTCTCCTCCAAGGAATCGAGGATGTTGTCGTTTACCTGGATGGCATTCTCATCACCGAGCTACAGAAGAAAAGCATCTCCAGACGTTGGATGAGGTGCTGAGTCATCTAGACAAGGCGGGCCTCCGATTGAAAAGAAGCAAGTGCAAGTTCATGAGAGAGTCATCACATCCACTATTCCACACGAAGTCCGAGCCAGCCCCAAAGCCTACCTCAGTGACTACCCTCAAGGCCTACCTGAGAATGTTGACTTTCTGCAGTAAGTGTCTCCCAAAACTCTCTACCTTACTTTACTGTCTATTGAGAATAGGGGGTCCCTGGAGGTGGGGTACTAAGCAGGCTAAAGCCTTCAAGGCATCCAAGATGTTTCTGATATATGACAAGTGCCTCACGCATCACTGAAGCTAACCCTAGCCTGCGACGCATCACATTATGGGTTAGAAGCTGTGAGATGTCAGACGGGAGAGAAAGGCCTATCGGTTATGCTTTTCGTACACTGAACCCATCAGAGCGTAACTACTCTCAATTAGAGAAAGAGGGGTTTCGTGCATCTTCGGAATGAAGACATTTTCTTCGGGAGATCCTTTGACCTAGTCACCAACCACAAGCTGCTACTTGGGTCTCTTGAAGGAACGCCGTCCAGTATACCCTCAAGCGTCTGCATGAATCAAGAGGTGGTCGAAGGGTCTCTTGGAGAAATGACATCCAGTATCCCCTCAAGCGTCTGCACAAATTAAGAGGCGGTCGTTATTTCTGTCAAGCTACGAGTACACTCTGTCATTCTGAAAGACAGGTGCTCATGCCAATGCAGATGCACTCAGTCGCCTGCGACTACCAGAAGAACCAGCTAAAATGACTGTTGAACTGGTACTTCTAGCAGAACAGTCTCCAGTAACTGCAGCCAACATCCGCACGTGGACCAGCATAGATCCTAAGTTGTCCCGAGTTCTACAGTATATCCAGTGTGGGTGGTCAAACAATGGTGACTCCGAACTCCAGCCATATTCCTCGCGCCGTCTCGAACTGTCATCGTACGAAGGGTGCCTTATGTGGGGGACGAGGGTGGTTATCCCTCCACCCGCACAAGTGGCGTTACTACAAGAGTTACATTAAGGCCATCCTGTTATCTCTAAGTTGAAAGCCCTTGCTATGTCTCGTGGCCGGGAATGAACACTGACATTGAGAAGTCTGTCAGATGGTGTGGTGAATGTCAGCAGGTACAGTCCTCACCACCACTGGCTCCAGTCAATCCCTGAAAATGGCCATCGATGCCATGGGTGAGACTACATCTTGATTTCGCCAGACAATTCAAAGGGAAGATGATCCTAGTCCTCATCGACGCACACTCTAAGTGGATAGAAGCCATTTGTACACCATCAACTTCATCTGCTGCGTCTTCGACGAACTTCGTACATTATTTGCCAAATTCGGTTTGTACCGTACATGTAGTCGACAACACGTCAATTGTAAAGTGGCACGATAAGCGTGTTGTCTCCATTCTGACAACCGTGCAAGTGATTCACCTGTTCATGTTGAGAGAAGGTCTCGTCGCACATCTGGTGGACGCGAGGGGGTGGAAAAGCCTGAGGCAGTTGTCGAGTACAACAAGTATATGGGTGGCGTTGACTATGTATTTACTAGGGCTAGGGCTAGTATATTGTTGGCTAGGTTAAGTATTAACATTACACAATAGTCGGGACTTACAGAAAATACAAAAAAAGTCATGCTACTGAGTACAAATGGAGTTTACGAATGGCACACCAGGCAACAATATAGAGATTGCGTGAAGGGGTCGGGGTGTCAGCATGCTCAAATCTGTTCATTAACCATGCTTCATGTATCCCATCCCTATCTTGTCTCCTTTTCTTTTTTTATCATCCCTATATGCCTCTTTTTTTAAATGCACAGGATTTTTGTTGAGAACTTGAACCTCATAGAGTTTCATACTGTACAATGCACATTTACATACAAATTAGCCTGTGAGTCATAGTTTAATTCTTCTTTCTCTTTGATTACCCAATGGTGTAACGGCCTTGTCAAAATCAAAGTCCTCCAGGGAGGGTCCATTGATCGAAATCCACATTAGGTGGTCCAAACTGTGTGTAATCAACCGGTTACGGAGATCTGTCTGACACGGTTCATTTTTGGCTTGTTTTAGCTTGATTACTGGATCATCTAGCACCACTTGAAAAGTGTGTAGACCAGCCAACTGGACAGAACAGGAACAAGTTTTGTAGTGTTGCCTTGAACCTAACAAGGTAAGGAATGCCATGTGCAGCAGCGAGTGCAAGTCGGTGATCGACACAGTGAATGATGATCAATTTTGGGAATCAGTCTTTTAACCGCTTAGCGACTGCATTTCTTTCACCTGTCGTAACAGGAGCGCCATCACTGCCGAATCCCCTTTGTTGATTGACATCAATTGATTTTTGCTCAGTAATATTTACAAAAGGCTTCATTGTTAACGTTCACTTTGTGGCGTAAGCATAAATGACACCTTTACATTTGGTATAAGTGATATTTAGTATGTATGTATTAAACAGGGGTGTCCGGTGTGGCTTACGGAAAAAAATCTCTGTGCACTCACTAACTCTCTCTAGGCTCTACGGAGCCTCAAAAATAGGTTAAATGAAAAGCACTGAAGTGCAAACCCTTAGCGAACTGTTGCATGCGCCATACCACTAATTGATATCAGTGTGCGCATCTCCCACTACTAGCTCACAGAGAGTCTCGCACGGGCTATCTACAGTAGTAGATGGCATGCGGGAGTTGATACATGCCGTTCGTTGTGACTTCTTGTTCCTTCAAGAGATACACAGAGCGAGCGGACCCGGTCGTGGTCAGCAGTGCCACACATTTGGAACGCGTATAATATACGCATGCGCACAGCTAATTGGTGCGGTGGGCCACGCAACTCGGTCAGCGACCGTGCCAGTTTCTCGCTCTCGGATGCAGTCGTTACAGCAACGTTGCTATTTTATTTTTTCAGGCTCGCGTAGTTCTGCAGCCGTTGGTATTGCTGACAGGCCACCTCGTAGCTTGTAGTGCCAGAATAGCTGCTGACAGACAGATAGCCAGACATCCGGACACACACACAGACCAAGTATGGTAACCCTCGCTGCGCACGTGCGCCGGGATTTCTGCGTAGTGCAAAAAGCGTAACACGTATTTACTCAATCAGTAACCCATTCACGATCGCTTTTGTAGTGAGGGTTTTTTTAACTGGGAGACTTAGAGAAACTGAAATGACATGTTTTGTTTCTCTTGGATTGTTTGTGCTTTTGAAGGAGAAGCTACTAGGTATTTCAATTTCCTATCTTCTGCTGGGACTTTACATGATACATAAAGTTGCACACAACATAAACCAAACTCTGTAGACGTTAGACCAATATTACACAATGTGCATGTGAAGAACCTCTCGCCTGAAATGATATTCTGATGGCGTAGTCAGCAATTTTCACCTAGGGGTTTGGTGATTTCAAAAAGCATTTTAAACACAAAGATCTTTGCTGCAGTAGCAGGGTAACCATTTGGATTTCACATCAAATGACAATGCTGCAACCTCATCAGTGTAATGCACACCATACTGTCTAGCAATAGTTTTGGCCACTTGGTGGCACGTGTTGCCATCATAGTTCACATTCTGAATGGTAAGGTGGGCCAAATCGCTTAGCTGTTGCAAACTCACAACAAACACTATCATCAGAACACTCCATTGGCTCGCTTTCAACATTGAAAGCTACATTTGCAGGACTATTGCTACTATTCTCAGGCTGATCACATTCAGTATCCATGCGGCTGTCATCTAAATTCTGGCAAAGCTCTTTATCGCTTGCCATAGCTTCTTCCACCCGCTGCTCTCTAGGCGAGCGCTGAGCTGCAAGGGCAACTCATTTTGTAGGGGTTCAACTCTTCAACACAACACAAAGGGAAATCTCAACGAACTGTGCTATGGCCCAGTAAACTAGTAAACTATGTAGGAGCAGACCGGGGTAATTAAACACATCCAACTCCAAATAATGGCCATGGTGTTTCAGGTTTAATGGAATTAGCTCAGACTGAGAAGGCAAGCATGGTAACACTTGACAAATGATATCAACTTTGATGGGACATTCACTGCATGGACCCACATTTGTGGCAATGCTACCATTCTAATGAAAGGCACACATAAGAAAATCAACCTCTATTCTAGGCCATAAAGTTCAGGTTGCACTTCACATCATCTTACACTGGCATGGACCCTCTCATCAACGGTCTGTCACAGGTCTTACATATCCACTCTTTTCCGTCATTGCAAATGTATCTTAAATGAGCACTACACCTTTCAAAGTACGTGAGGACTGGCTGTAGTCGAGGGATATTGTGTGAAAACAACAAAACAAGCCAATATGCATAATCAGCACTGGTGTGTCTCCGCCGGTACTGTGTAGGAATGGAGATACTCGGGGGATGTGCCTCGTTGCTATGCACTGATGCTGCTGCTAGCCTGTTTTTAAAAGAAGAAGCTGGCTCCGTTGACGGTTTACCGTGTGGCGTGACCCGGCTCATCAATTATTTTTTTCCATGCATAAACATCAAAGCTAACAACACAGTGCATGTGCATTTTTGCACCTAGGGTTTGCACTTTATTGCTCTTTATTACGCATGAAGTTGTCTAAAACAAAACTTGAAATGTGTATTGGTTCTTTAATAAATGTAGTACATGTATGAAAGTCTATTTCTCTTTCACACTCATAGAAGATGAATCTGCTGGGTGATAATGAACACATTGAAGAGTATAAAGGATTTGAATACGTCTTTAAAAATGGTAATATTCCTATTATCTGCAGTAAGGATGACGTAAAAACCCTAGCGGAAACATAAATCTAAATAAACTTCAGCTGCACTTCGAAAGTGAGGTTACATGTTTCTTTGGCTTGCTTTTGCTATGCCTATAACTTGCTTATGGTCGGTCCTCAAACAATGAAACTTGATTTACCATGATAAGAGTTCATAAAAATAAAAAAAAGTTGTAAACAACAACAAACAGCCTTAGTAAATAAAACTTCTAACTTTATTTGTGCCTATAACTTGCCTATGGTTGGTGCTCCAACAATGAAACTTGGTACACAGATGTATATACCATGATGAGAGTTCATCGAAAGTAATTACCAAATTTGTAAACATCAATGGTAGCACGCATAGAGATGAAACTTGGTATGTATGCCTATTATACCATCCATGATGATTACATGTTTCCATGACGACCAAAAAGGCCCCAGGCACTTTTCTTTAGAATTACTCCTTCACTCCTCAAACTGGCTAATTGTAACACAGATGGAGGTGAAACTTGGTGCGCATGAGTATTACATCGTTTCCATGACGACCACAACAACAAATAGCCTCAGGCACTTTTCTTTAAAATTACTTCTTCACTCCAGAAACTCGCTAACGGTACCACGCATGTAGATGAACTTGGTACACATGCGTGTAACATCGTTTCCATGATGACCACAACATTTAGCCTCAGGCACTTTTCTTTAAAATTACTTCTTCACTCCTCAAACTTGCTAACTGCAGCACACATGGAGATGAAACGTGGTGTGCATATCATTTCCATGACGACAACAGGGACAAGTAAATTAAAATTCCAAGAGGCATATAGGGATGGTATAAAAAGAAAGGGAGACAAGATAGGGATGGGATACATGAAGCATGGTTAATGAACAGATTTGAGTACGCTGACACCCCTAACCCCATCACACAATCCCTATATTCTTGCCTCGGTGAAGTATTAAACATTCGCCATTACTATACTCAGAACTTGCAATACACTACTGAGTAACCAACACCCTTATAGAGTCCAAGTGGAGTTTAATTAAAGGGAATGTGGCAGTATAAATGTTACTAAAAACAACAGGGACACGGTGAAAGAATGCTTGCTTTTAGTAACCTTTAGCCCGTATAAGAGTAGCACACCAGGCAACAATATAGGGATTGTGGGATGGGGTTGGGGGTGTCAGCATACTCAAATCTGTTCATTAACCATGCTTCGTGTATCCCATCCCTATCTTGTCTCCCTTTCCTTTTATACCATCCCTATATGCCTCTTATTTTAAATTCGAAGGATTTTTAATTTACTTCTAATAATAATGCTCAGGTGGCTGCCATAGCACTAGGGCCATAGACAACACACCCAGAGCAATAGGCGGAATCGTTAACAAACGAACATACACCATATGAACATGAGGTGTCTGTCTCACCTCCCAAACACCTCAACTCACCCCTTCCACCAGCGACACCCTGCAGCTCCCCAGACGCAATCTGAGACTGGGTCTGTTGTACGCTGGGATTATCGCTCTATAACCCTAACCGTTCTTAGCTCCCAACATCCAAATAATAATAATACTCAGGTGGCTGCCATAGCACTAGGGCCATAGACCACGCACCCAGAGCAATGGCGGAACCGTTAACAAACGAACATACACCATATGAACATGAGGTGTCTGTCTCACCTCCCAGACACTTCAAATCACCCCTTCCACCAGCGACACCCTGCAGCTCCCCAGACGTAGGGTTTGTTGTACGCGGGGACTATCGCCGTATAACCTAACCTTTCTTAGCTCCCAAACATCCAAAATAAAATCTTTAAAAAGGCCAAGCAAAGAACCAAATTTATCCTCCCACAGCTCATTACCCAATATAAAGGATGCTTTCCTGAAACTATCAAGCGACTGGAAATGCTCAAACCCATCATCCACAAGCTTTCCCTGCAGGTCAACTAAGAAATTGCTCCTAAGCTATATGCCGGACACTCCCACAACACATGACTCACACTTTCACACTCATCGTCACACAACAGGCACTCCTTCATCCCCTCCCTCCCCCTACGCCTACCCAGTTCCTCATTTAGCCCATGCGTGCCTGACCTGAACTTAAACATTAATTTAGACTCAGCATAACTTTACCCATGCAAGTACTTTTTAAACTCTACCACCTTGTTAAATGTCTTATACAATAACAGCTTTACTTTGCTATTTAGCCCCTCTTCAAACTTTCTAATCGCCCTCTCATTGAGATACTGTCCCCTACTATAGACAGAAAGGGCAATCCCCATTTTGAATATCATGCAACCACTCTGCCTTGTCAAGACCAAAGGTACAATAGTATAAATAGAAAAATAATTCATAATAAAAATATTATACAAATCACGAAAATAGATCATCAATGACCTTTCCAACACTTCCTCTGCCTGCCTCTCCGTGGCTTAAAATTCCATTCCTGATTTAAAAACTTCTTTGGATACCTATTGCCTGGCAATGCCGCTAACTTATACCACCACTTATTCTTATCCCTAACGTATCAAGCCCCATATCCCCCTAACGGCTTCATTACATGTCTTAGACGAACACCCAAGAATAAGCTTAGCTCCTCCCAGCATAACGGACTCTAACGCAGCTGCCTGAGTCTTATTGGCATCCCACACTTCACCCCCATACTCTAAAGTTGGCCTAACCACCTGCGAGCACTCAAATTAATATCCCTATTACTAATTACACTATTAACCTTCCTTCTGCCATTGTCTAACTCATTCTTGATATGCACATCCCATGCACCAGTACTAGTAAAATCAACACCCAAGTATGTGTATTTAGATACTCTAGGCAAAACATACTCCCCCCATTTCCAAGCACCATCCACTGACTCCCAAGCGAACACCATCACTGAACTCTTAGCCTTTAGCCTCCATTTTCGACAGTAGGCATGCACCACATCTATAAGCATCTGTAACTGATCCTTAGACTCACTAAGTCATCTGCAAACAAAAGTCCTCCAAGTCTCCCACCACTACTTAAATCGATCCCAATCTCAGCTTCCTCTACCTCCCTCAACAACCCATTGATAAATACAGAAAAATAAGCTACACCTCTGAGCTACCCCCTATTCCACATCAAATGCATCTGACCATTCCCATCCAACAATACAGCACTCTTTGAAGACTCGTACATGTTTATGACCCTCCACATCTTTCCTCTTACCCCAAATTCCCACAACGTAAACCACAGGCTGTTATGCCACACACTATGGTATGCCTTCTGTACATCTAGAAAGAGTGCATATGTCTCCTTCCCTTCCTTTAGCACGAGTTCATTCAGCGTATGAATATTATCAACACAACCCCTTCCAACCCTAAAACCAGCCTGACCCTCGTACAATGTTTTGCCCTCGTCCAGATGATTCACCTACCTATTGTTCAAAACCTTACAAAAGACCTTCCCAACCACACTCAGCAGAGTGATGCCCATATAATTCCCTCCTTATCTCCCTTCTTAAACAGGTTAACTATGAGGCCCTCCTTCCACTGTGGTGGCACAAACTCCTCACATCAAATTACTGTAAACAAATGTTTAAGTAACTCTACCATCCCTACTTTAGAAGCTCCCCCACAAGCTACCACCAGTGTTGTTATTCTTCAACTTTCTAACACACAATGCAACCTCCTCCAAATCTATTTCTCTATCCAATACATTTTCCACACAATCTGTTGGTAACTCACACACTTTCTTATCCACTTCCTCTTCCAACTATCATCAAAGGCTGTATCAACACTACAAGTGTGCAACTGCTGATAATGCCTCTTTAACACCATCTACTTTGTACTAATCACTGACACCCCAGCACTGTTCCTCAAAGCTGAATACAAACATAAATTACAAGTTTGTAATTGCCGAGCGCGTTAGCGTGAGGCAACTACTCCGGGTTGTATTCTCGCGATATGCGTACGTACGTACGTACGTGTCGTCACGCTTAAGAATGTCAATTAGTCACGCTTAGGAATGTCCACTTCCGTCATTCGTAGGAAGTCTAGCTTCGCGCGCAGATTCGTAGGAAGTCTGGCTTCGCGTGCAGTCAGTAGAGCGCGCGCACGAGCGGCCTCAGTCGGAGTGTTCACGCATTGGCTGGCAAAATATGGCGCGTGCGCATTCCTAACAACCTCAGACAATTAAATGCTTGTTTCCCTATAACTTGCTTATGCTGGGTCCTCTAACAATGAAACTTTGTACACTTATGTACTTTGTTGTGAAATAAACATGTAGATACAACAAAGTGTCTGAGGCAATAAATACATGTTACTTTTTATATGGGAATTATGCCCAAATGCATGTGCATGCCGTAAAAAAGGAAAGGAGACAAGTAATAAAATTCTTCGAATTGAAAATGTGTGGAATATATGGGACGGTATAAAAAGCAAGCCATTGCTCTGGTGCGTGGTCTATGGCCCTAGTGCTATGCCAGCCACCTGAGTGTTATTATATTATTATTATAAAATGCACGGTGACAAGATAGGATGACAATTCTTATTATATTATATAAGCAAGGTGACAGACTAGGGCATGTGATGCTTAGTACAATGTGATGAGGCATAGCAAGATCATGAATGTATTATAAATAGGATAAATGTTCTCAAGAGGAAAAAAACCCATACATAGAAAACTGCAGATAATGAAGATTCGCGCTCATTTGGAACAATTCAACCAGAGATATGTTCTAGTCCCCGCCGACAAGGCGAGTAGTAATATTATTGTTGTTTGTAAGAAATTTTATGTTGATGTAATAGTAAGCGAGTTGCTGAACGTAGGCCAACCATCCACGTATATTGCCTGTAATTATAACTTGTAAGGAAGCATCTGTTGGATATGCAACGTTGGAACATATATTTACCACCTGTAATGGAACAGTTTCCTACTATGTATTGGCTACCCAAGCTGCTTAAAAACCCAGTAGGTTTATTGCAGCGTCAAACAAATGTTCAACCAAGCCATTATCGGGGTTGCTGACAAGATGTTTAACAACGTTTTTAACACACTTCAAAGAATATTGTGCTGGTAGCTAAAAAAAATGCGGGAGTTAATTGTTTTTGGGTTTATTAATAATGCGCAGTTAGTCTTACAATCAATGCATACACTCAACGATATTTCGGCGGCTAGAACCATGGACACTTTTGACTTTTCCACATTGCATACAAGCATACCGCATCATTCCTTAAATAGCAGTATGAAACAATTGATAGAAGATGCCTTTCAGGTGAGAGGAGCATTGTATTTATCGATAACTAAGAGTAAATGTTTCTGGAGTACCGACAATAAGTATGAAATCAATATCAGTAAAGCTCAGCTAACACTATCTTATTGACAATATGTGTCAGTAGGTAATAGGGTGTTTCGTCAATGCATAGGTATACTTATGGGCACAGATTGGCAAATTTATATCTATTTACTTACGTATATATGAGAAGGCTGATAAGTAGTAATAATTATGTCTAAAGCGAGAGGATTTTCTAACACCTTTGTACATCGACGATCTATTGACTTTAATAACCCTCTTTTGAGAATACGATAATGAGATATATCCATCTGAGCTGGTTCTGGAAAAAACACGGAAAATATGTGGTATGCTTTCATACTTGGATGTTGCCATTATAATATAAGATGGACATTTCACCTCCACCATCTATGATAAGAGAGATAGTTTGAACTTCCGTATTGTTAATTTTCCTTTTGTGAGCAGCAACATTCCCGCGGGTCCTTAAGTACGGTAGTACTTAGTATATCACTAAGTACGGTAGTACTTAGTATATAGGGATTGACATGGTACCTAGCATCACAGATGTATGGGGCTATGATAGGGAGTTTTGTTCATCATCATCTTCTTCTCTTCTCTCTTCGACCAGCGTAACTCAAAAACCGAAAGAGATAAAGCCATGATATTTTGTAGGAATGTACATATCGATAACCACATGGGCAACGTCATACTTTTTGTTTGTAAACAATGTTTGTTTACCTCTAAACAACAACAAATTGCCCCAGGCAATACATTATAATGGACAATACATTTTAATGGACATACTAGATGTGTCAGTGTAATTCACAATTGGTAAGAGTTATGCGAGCGAAAGTTTGTATACACAATGTATTCAATAGCCAACATCAAAATCCCAACAATACATGTTTGTAAATAACAACAAATAGCCTCAGGCACTTTTCTTTAAATTAACTTCTTCACTTCTCAAACTTTCCAATGGTAGCACGCATAGAGATGAAACTTGGTACGTATGCCTATTATATCATTTCCATGACGATTACATGTTTCCATGACGACCGCATATTGTTCGAAAAGGCCTCAGGCAATTTTCTTTAAATTACTTCTTCACTCCTCAAACTTGCTAATTGTAGCACGCATGGAGGTGAAACTTGGTGCGCATGTGTATTACATCGTTTCCATGACAACTACAACAACAAATAGCCTCAGGCACTTTTCTTTAAAATTACTTCTTCACTCCTCAAACTCGCTATCAGTATCACGCATGGAGATGAAACTTGGTGCGCATGTCTATTACATCGTTTCCATGACGACCACAACAACAAATAGCCTCAGGCAATTTTCTTTCAATTACTTCTTCACTCCTCAAACTTGCTAATTGTAGCACGCATGGAGGTGAAACTTGGTGCGCATGTGTATTACATCGTTTCCATGACAACTACAACAACAAATAACCTCAGGCACTTTTCTTTAAAATTACTTCTTCACTCCTCAAACTTGCTAACTATAGCACGCATGGAGGTGAAACTTGGTGCGCATGTGTATTACATCGTTTCCATGACGACCACAACAACAAATAGCCTCAGGCAATTTTCTTTATAATTACTTCTTCACTCGTCAAACTTGCTAACGGCAGCACACATGGATGGTATGCATTTCATTTCCATGACGACAATTTTTTCTCTATTATTAATTTTTATAGGGGCTTTCCCCCTTCTACGTAGAAGTATATAAAAATGAGTGGAGACAAGTAAATAAAAAATCCTGCGGATTAAAAAAAGAGTGCATATAGGGATCGTATAAAAAGAAAGGGAGACAAGATAGGGATTGTGTTTGTGGAAGCACAGAGATGCTAGCGAGGAGTTAGGACTCCCACAGGTCATTACAACAGCCCTATATCGTCATATCGGTGCTTTACTACTTCCTCGTGAATATATCAGCCAACCTTGCATACTTGAATTTTGTTTTCTTGCGTTACACAATTTTTCCATGTTGCCATCTATAAACATGTATATCCAATGTTATGGTCAGCTGATTACACTTCCACCTAAATGCGCACTCCATGGAAATGTAGCATGACAAATCTATCAAAGGTAATTAGTAAGTACTTCATTACCTATAGCAATATTCTACAGACTCTCTCATCACTCCCACTCCCACCCTACGAAGAAGATTGAAAACTTTCCCTATCATAGCCCCATACATCTATGATGCTAGGTAGTCCCACCGTACGACGATATAGGGCTGTTGTAATGACCTGTGGGAGTCCTAACTCCTCGCTAGCATCTCTGTGCTTCCACAAACACAATCCCTATCTTGTCTCCCTTTCTTTTTATACGATCCCTATATGCACTCTTTTTTTAATCCGCAGGATTTTTTATTTGCTTGTTATTATAGGGATTGACATGGTACCTAGCATCATACGTAGATGTATGGGGCTATGATAGGGAGTTTTGTTCATCTTCTTCTTCTTCTTCTTCTTCTTCGACCAGCGTAACTCAAAAACCGAAAGAGATAAAGCCATGAAATTTTGTAGGAATGTGCGTATCGATAACCACATGTGCAACATCATACTTTTTTGTTTGTAAACAATGTTGTATACTGTAAACAACTAAAAATGTTCCCCAGGCAATACATTATAATGGACATACATGTGTTAGTGTAATTCACATTAATTGTAAGAGCTATGTGAACGAAACTTTGTATACATAATGTATTCAATACCCAACATCAACAATACATATTTATAAACAATAACAAATAGCCTCCGGCACTTTTCTTTAAATTTACTTCTTCACGTCTCAAACTCCTTAATGGTAGGACGCATAGAGATGAAACTTGGTATGTATGCCTATTATATCATTTCCATGACAACTACATGTTTCCATGACGACCGCATACTGTTTGAAGAAACCTCAGACGATTATCTTTATAATTACTTCTTCACTCCTCAAACTGTAGCATGTATGGAGGTGAAACTTGATACACATACGTATTAAACTGTTTCCATGACAACCACAACACAAAGTAGCCTCAGGCACTTTACTTGAAATTTACTTCTTCACTCCTCAAACTCGCTAACGGTACCAAACATAGAGATGAAACTTGATAAGTATGCCTTATCATTTCCATCATGATTACATGTTTCCATGACGACCGCATATTGTCCGAAAAGGCCTCAGGCAATTTTCTTTAAATTACTTCCTCACTCCTCAAACTCGCACACATGGAGGTGAAACTTGGTGCACATGTGAATTACATCGTTTCCATGACGACCACAACAACAAATAGCCGGAGGCACTTTTCTTTAAAATTACTTCTTCACTCCTCAAAATTGGCTAACTGTAGCACGCATGGAGGTGAAACTTGGTACACATGTGTATTACATTGTTTCCATGACGACCACAACAACAAATAGCCGGAGGCACTTTTCTTTAAATTACTTCTTCACTCCTAAAACTTGCTAACTGTAGCACGCATGGAGATGGAACTTGGTACGCATGTGTGTAACATCGTTTCCATGACGACCACAACAACAAATAGCCTCACACACTTTTCTTAAATTACTTCTTCACTCCTAAAACTTGCTAACTATAGCACGCATGGAGGTGAAACTTGGTACGCATGTGTGTAACATCGTTTCCATGACGACCACAACAACAAATAGCCTCAGGCACTTTTCTTTAAATTTTCTTCTTCACTCGTCGAACTTTCCAATGGTAGCACCCATAGAGATGAGACTTGGTATGTATGCCAGGCAATTTTCTTAAAAATACTTCTTCACTTCTCAAACTCGCTAAACATTGAATGTATAGAGATTAAACTTGGTACGCATGTGTATTACATCATTTCCATGACAACTACATGTTCCTATGACGTTATTCTACCATCTAACTATATTCAAAGAGTTCGGTATTGTTGTTTTGTTGTTTCGTTCTCTCGCATGCGTACAACAAATGCAAAACTGTTGAAACCCTTGTCGGAAGGGGTGGTAATGAGGGAAATTAAGAAAAATCCGTGTTTAGGTACGTATTAGTTAACGTATAGGCGGCGAGGCTGTACAGGAGATACTCCGAGGCCGGTATAATTTACAGCCGAGGAGGATTTCCTTTACGCGCCGAGACGCCTGCCATTAACTGATTTGTATTCCAACTAGCCAATCACAATGCTGAATTTCTGCTGTGTCATCCTGCACTAATGCACTACTTTGGAAGCCAGACTATTTGCACTACGCCTAGCGATGTTGTGATAAGGACTTCCTGTCCAATACTGATACCAGTGCAGCCCGCAGCCCACAGCTCAGAATAATACAGCGTATATTCCTAGCACCGGGTTGTTTGAAGTTGGACTACAAAGTTAGATAGTAACGACTACATATTGTTCAAATAGCCTCAGGCACTTCTCTTCCAACTTGCTAACGGTAGCATGCATGGAGATGAAACTTGGTACACATGCATGACAACATAATGTTTCCATGACAACCACATATTGTTTGAACAACATCAAATAGCTTCAGGCACTCTTCACTCCTCAAACTTGCTAACGGGAGTACTCATGGAGATGAAACTTGGTACTAATGCGTATGACATCGTTTCCATGACAACCACATATTATTTGAACAACAACAAATAGGCTCAGGCATTTACTTCTTCACTTCTCAAACTTCCTAACGGCCACACACATGGAGATGAAACTTGGTACGCATGCGTATTACATCATTTACATGACTACAACAGGCATCGCCCCTTTCACAGAGATATACGTAGTAGTATATAAAAATGAGTGGAGACAAGTAAATTAAGAATCGTGCGAATTAAAAAAAGAGGCATATAGGGATGGTATATAAAAAGAAAGGGAGATAAAAAGAAAGGGAGACATGACGCATGCGTATTACATCATTTCCAGTTGTCATGGAAATTATGTAATACGACATACATACTGAGTGAGAGTATACTGTGCCATAGCACAGTTGTTTGTGTTGTAGGTTCGAACCCCTACCAGCTGAGTTGCCCTGGTAGCTCAGTTGGTGGAGCGTTCGCCAAGACTGCAGAGTGCCGTGGGTTCGAATCCCACCCAGGGCAGCTCTTCTTGTTTTCTCTGAAAAGAAAGAGCTGTCCTGGGTGTAGCTGAGTTGTTTGCCTTGCCTTGCCTTTCTACCTCGCTACCAAGTTGTTGAGACATACATGTACTCAGTTTGGAGTTTGGCGTCTTTGGTGGTTTAATTACCCCGGTCTGCTCCTACATACTGAGTGAGAGCATACTGTGCCATAGCACAGTGGTTTGAGGTTTGCCCTGTGTTGTGTTGTGTTGTGTTGTGTTGTACCCCTACCAGCTGAGTTGCCCTGGTAGCTCAGTTGATAGAGCGCTAGCCTAGACTGCAGTGTCGTGGGTTCAAATCCCTCCCAGGGCAGCTCTTCTTCTTTTCTCTGAAAAGAAAGAGCTGTCCTGGGTGTAGCTGAGTTGTTTGCCTTGCCTTTCCTTTCTACCTCTCTACCAAGTTGTTGAGACTGATAAGAATGGGATACATGAAGCATGGTTAATGAACAGATTTGAGTACGCTGACACTCCCAACCCCATCACACAATCCCTATATTGTTGCCTAGTGAAGTATTAAACATTCACCATTACAATACTCAGAACTTATAATACAAAAACGTCATGCTCCTGAGTAACCAACACCATTATAGGTGAAGTTTAATTAAAGGAAATGTGGCAGTATAAAAGTATAAATGTTATTATAAACAACAGGGGTACGGGTGAAAGAATGCTTGCTTATGCCCTTATAAGAGTAGCACACCAGGCAACAATATAGGGATTGTGTGATGGGGTTGGGGGTGTCAGCGTACTCAAATCTGTTCATTAACCATGCTTCGTGTATCCCATCCCTATCTTGTCTCCCTTTCTTTTTATACCATCCCTATATGCCTCTTATTTTAAATTCGCAGGATTTTTAATTTACTTGTTTACTTAGAGGAATGCGACAAATATTTGTTGAGCAAAGCGTGCAGTTCAATATTTCATACGTGTTTTTGCGCTTATGTCGTGCCACCTACTACATCCAACTGCTTCCTGTTTCAAAATTCATATACACCTGTGGGTATGAGTATCCGATGACGGAGACGACAAGAAACAGCAAATAACGATTTTCTGTGTGTGGTGAATCCAGCTCTAAGAAAATGTACCACTTGGCACAATAATTTGAAATTGCATTAGCAGTACCATGCAAAAGTGTGTTGAGTGAGCTCTACTATGACACAAACCCCACCTTCGTAGCACATTCCTATCACGTGTTATAAGAGGAAGTGTCGTAGCCCTTGCCTACCTGTAATTTTGAGATAATGCACATCGAAGTCGACTGTCCACTTTGAAAACAAATTTAACCTCGTGTCATTGCCAGGTTGCTGTGAGCATTATAAATGGCAGATTTCCACCGGTGTTATGTGAAAGGCTCTAGTTTTCCATGGTATCCAATATACCACGAGCTGCCCAGATTCAGCTATTAACACGCATATCTCAAAACTACAATTTTGCAGCAAGTGGTATATACCTTTTTTCAGAGCAGGTCACAAATGCTGTTAAGCAGTCTTTAACAACCACACAAGCATTGCTATTGTCTGCGTATGCAGGGTACACGACTGGCAACATGTAGACCTTCACGAGCGATTGGCAACGTGTAGACCTTCACTAGAACTACCTACGTACCACGGTGTAGTGTCATTCCTGGGATACAAACTGGTAAACATACACGTCCTTCAACAGTACCGGATATACCCCTCAGCTGCTTAACAAGTTTGTGTGTATTCACTACCACTTCAGTGCCTGTAGGTTAACCATTACAGAATTAACCCTTGACGAGCATGCGCAGCGACGGTTATTGTACTTGTTTCGTAGGTGTGTCTGTCAGTCGGTCCCTCCGTCTGTCTGTTATCGTCACCACACACAACAAGACAACAAAATAGCGATGGGAAAAAATTCGGCGCTACACTAGCTTGATTTTGAATTCGTAATAGTGCTGCGTTCAAGAGCTATTGTGGGAATAGCCAAAATGCACAGGCTTACCTCGACCAGATCCGCTTAATTTGTGTACCTTAGAGACACCGGAAGTTGCCATGCAGTAAGGGTATTCACTCCCGGTAGTGTAGCTAGTGTTTCAGGGAACTGGAAAGAGACTGCAAATATAGTTGGTGAGCAAAGCGAGCCCACCTATGCATTTTCCATACAACCGTAATGTGTGCGTGATTCTGAATATATAACACTTTGATTTGTATCATTACTGGGCTACAGTAGGGAGGATGTCCCTAGTACATACTTTTCTGAAATACACAATGGCATGTTGATATATTTCCACAGTAGCTCCGTACTACTTCATTTCCTGAGGTACTACTGAAGAATATAGTTTTCTTTTTATACAAACCTTGCAGTGTGGGCTGATAATGCTGATGTTTGTGCAAACCAGTATGCTGGGACTGGAGCTTTAAAAACAGATTTTACCAGGTACAGTATTGCTTACTTCATTGCATGATTTGCCCCAAAACGAAGTTTGTGACTTCCCATTCCCTCTGGGATCCGAAAAATACCCCTCCCCTGTCGCTCATCAAATGGACTGTACTGGCTACAGCATCAGAACGGCCAAAGATGCTACGGACATCCACCAGACTGGGAGGGAGAGGCACCATCGCGCGGGTGTGAGGTGTTCGTGGGGAAGATCCCATCAGAGTACTTCCAGGACGAGCTTGTGGTAGTCTTCGAAAAGATGGGCAAGATCTACGAGCTCCGGCTCATTATTGACTACAACAGGTGCTACGTGCTCTTCATGTACGGAGACGTGTATACACCTCGAATATGAGAAGTACATTAAGTAGTGATTTAATACAGCTCGTATTTTTTCTTGCCTTTAGTGCACTAGAACAATGGATTATATAGTATGAAAGCCAGGCGCTAGCTCCGCTGAGCGTAGCAGAGGTGTGGTCAACCCATACTATGGCGTGGCACTAATGGAAGCACAGGCAGGCGGCTTGCTTAATACTGCATGTGTCAACAAGAACAAGTCAACTACACCCAGGACAACTCTCTGTTCGAAGGAAAGAAGAAGAGCTGCCCTGTGTGGGATTTGAATCCATGACACTCTACCCCCTAGGCAAGCGCCCTACCAACTGAGCTACCAGGGCAACTCAGCTGGTAGGGGTTTTATTCTCCAACACTACACAACACAAAGGCATCCTCAAACGACTGTTTTATGGCCAGTAAACTCTCACTCAGTACACAATGCTACCATTTTCATGAAAGATACACAACGAAATCAAAAGACAAAGCAATACCCCCAGGACCATATCATGCACAGCATATAACACTATGCTGTAGCAGGTGAGAAATCGATGGCCAGGGAGACGCTGGTAAGCCCCATGATTGAGAACATGCATCCATTCATTTATGCGCACACTGAAAACTGTGCTGCCAAAGTGCCGGATTCGAAAGGATGCTGTTACCATAATATAAAAACTGGATTCCTCTGTGAATACATGCGGTCGGGTAGCTACATCTGCCCTAGGGTGTCTGAATTTACGTATTCACCTGGGACCCATCGTTTACTTGTTCGTTCAATAGATGTGTGAAGAATACTTTCATTTGCACCGTCAATTCTCCACATGCAGAGAATTTTTAGTACTCTTTGGTTCCCCCTTTCTTAACCCCTGCAAATCTATACAGTTCCAGTGCACGGTATAGTAATTATCCTTCTGGCTCATGGCTAATAGGACCTGTAGTCTCTACATTTAACCTTCCATGAAGTTGTGCCTTTGCCACGTGATGAGTAAAATGGCTAATGTGAATGTTACAACAAAATTACTTGACAGCATAACCCTGCAGGAGCATCTTAGTAACAAGCACAGTTATCCTGGGCAGTGGAACGTGAGTTGCAACAGTATCTTATGAAGTAATCAGGATTTGATGATGGGACAAAGTTGTGTTTACCGATAGAGCCAGTGACTGAAAAGCAGAAGCAGTGTTGCAGTGTACATGTGTCAACAACGAGGTCAAAGCAAAGCAAAGGCAAGCATATCAACTAAACCCAGGAAACTCAAGGATAAAGAATAGCTGCCCTGGGTGGGATTCGAACCCATGACAGTCTGCCGTCTAAGTGAGCTCTCTACTTACTGAGCTACCTGGCTGTAGGGGTTTAAATGTGCACAGTACAGCAGAAGACAAAGGCAAACCTCAAACCACTGTACTCTGGCACAGTATACTTTAACGTAGTATACAGGAGCAGACCGGAGTAATTAAACCACAACTCCAAGCTAATTTCGACAATGAGGTCAAAGCAAAGGCAAACAAGTCAACTACACCCAGGATAACTCTCACACAGAAAGTTCTAGAATGTTCTATACACATGTTAGATCTAAGTTCAACAATTGCAATTATCCATGACGTATTCTAATCATCTGTGATGTCCCTACATCACTCCACCCCAGCGAGCAAGGAATGATGGTTGCCAATCCGTCGGGGAAACTCACGTGGCAACCAGAGCGAGTGATCCTGGTTGGTAAGTCCAGGCGAGGTGGTTGCGAAGATGCAGATTCGGGAGAACGGGGAACGGTTGCATCTGGTATCACGTCGAAATGCACTGGTTTTAAACGGTCCAACAACACAGTGTCGTGTAGTCTAATGTGACATATTTATCATCCCTAGAACAACATAGGGGCCATCATTAGGCGGTTGAAGGGGCTTGCGGATGGCGTCATTGTGGACGAACACATGAGTATGAGTGCATGTAGATTCAACATGGAAATTGTGCTGTTGTTGTAGACACACAGAGGTGGCCTTAAACCGGTGCAGTGTGTCTTTGAGACATGACACTAGTGACACTGGGTCTACCTCCAAGGAGCTCGACTGGAAAAATTGCCAGGTGCGTAGAGTGTCCTGCCGTAAACAAGCTCGGCTGCACTGCATCGAAAATCGACCTTAAGTTCTGTGCATATACTGAGGAGGATGAGAGGGAGAGAGTGAACCCGGTTGAGCGACATGGTCTTAGCTTTGAGTTGTTTTCAGTTGCCAGTGGAATCGTTCTACCATCCCATTAGCACAAGGGTGGTACGCTGTTTTCTAAAGTTGTTTTCATCCCAAAAGCTGTGTTAGTGACCTCCACAGCTGAGATGCAAACTGACGGCCACGATCAGTAACCACTGACGAAGGTGAGTGCAACAGCTGTAATATCAGGCATTTGCAACGCCTCCCGCCAGCATGAAACGGAAGTGAGAGGGTAGTCATACCCGCAAGAAGGTCGTATGGACCAACGATGATTTGATCAAAACGTGTTGCAAACGTACCGAGTTGGGTGAATGTGTGTTGCTGCACTTTTGCTCACTGGCATTGGAGGCAAGTTAGAGTCCAGTTCCTGATGTTGCCATTCATGCCAGGCCAGACAAGGCAATCCGAGATGAGGCGTTGGGTTACTCGAATGCCTGGATGAGCCAGAGAATGTACGGAGTGGAAACTGACAGAAATCTACGGGTCAAATAGGCGGGTGTCTGTACTCATGTCACATACGAGGGTGACGGGCGAAGTAAGGGGGACACCTTTGCCAACTGTAGCGTAGAGGATTGATGGGACTGGAGTTAAGGGTTCTGTTCTTGCGCCCTAGCCATAGCCTCGAAGCCTATCTGTGGAGGCAGCTGTGCTTGTATGCAGTAGCACGAGGCAGGAACTTGGTTAGCGTCCCCACGCACATGACGGATATCAGTAGTAAACTGGGATATGTAATCCGGTGACGAGTCTGCCGAGGAGTGTACCTGTCTGTGATTGTGATGAGAGCATAGGTAAGTGGTTTATGATCCGAAGTAACAAAAGTGCTTAACGATTGCGAGGAGCAATGTACTGTATTCCAGATTGGATAGGCCATCCCCTCTCCTGATGTACCAAGATGCTTATTGCAAAGAATAGTTTACTGTTGAAGCTATTGTGGGGACTCGTGGGTGACAGCATAAATCAGAAAGATTTGGGTACTTGTTTGGTAGATGAAAGTGAAGCTGAGCATCATAAGCTGCAGGAAGGTGGCAGTGTCACAAAAGAAAAACAGACTCATCAAGTACTGAAGCTCAAGAGCATGACTACATTCTATGGCCAAGCCAGGGTCAACAATGTAAACCAAGGCCAGCGAACTGCAGGAGAGAAGGCGTAGAATTTGGATGTTACAGCAATCGCAAGAGATAGATACTTACATTTGACTCATCATGAGAAACAATGAGTAGCAACCTGAATGGCCCACGATAGCAGTGCTGCCACTAAAGCATACTCTGACTGAAAGATGGGATACTTCATTGCTTGTAGATCAGCCTGACAGACGAGCAACTATGAAGTTATGTGTCAGCTGCATGACAATCCCACAAGTGGGCACTTTGTTGCTAATGAAATGCTCTGCATAAACAAGACTGCATATGTCACGCTGTACAGCAGCAAGCTTGCCTTGTGTACACCACGCAAAGGCCCTGCGCAACCACGGGCACCATCAATGTTAAAGCCCCAATTAAAATGAGTGACATTTTCGGACCTCATTGCCATGGACTAAGAGGCATACCTATTACCAAATCAAGAAGCAACCACGTGTGGCTTAAGTCCTATTTGATGAATTTTGTTGCATGGGAATACCACTGGAAGTCCACTCAGACCAAGCCTCCAAATCAAGAAGCCTCAAACAAATCTTCCTCATCCTTGGTGAGATAGCATCGTAGAGCGGTTGAATCATACAATCAAAGCTCAACTGTGTAGGAAAACCAAAGAAACAGGAACCTTTACGTGCCACTCCTTATGATGGCTTAATACACGACACAACCAGATGTTGCGATGGAATCTGAGACTGCCAAGTACGAAGAGGAGAAGCATTTTGCAGCTACTGAGTATGTATCACAGCTACACGCTCAGGTTGACAAAACTCATCGTCGGGAAAGGTCCAAATCGCAACTAGCGAATGAAACACACCAAGGCAACTCGATCCAGAACAGTGTGTCTGGCTGCATTATCTGAAATGGTATCTTCCAAACTTAGCCAATCATTGGAAGGGCCATCGATGGTAATGGATCATCTAAATGATGTGTTGAGCTAGGCCAACGCTCAAAGTCGAAGATTGTCAATCACAACCCGCTCTGGAGATATTGAGGCAACCCGACAAAGAATGCCCAGGAATCACACTCAGCACAACCCGCATCTCATACAGAGGTCAACATACTAGTAGAGCAGGGCCTAAGTAATAGCAGGAAGCACCACACCAGCAAGGGAAGACACCCCAGACACCCCAGTCCAGTTGCATATCAGCCTACACAAAGCTGTTGGCAATGCAAATCACCAGCCTGTTATGCTCTAACATTTAAACGTGTAGAAAGAGGTAGTGTTGGAAGCATAGCTTGGCAAGTTGGAACCACAATGTCAGTCAGACTGTCATTACCTCGTCTGTTGTCATGTCATATCTATTATATATATATCATTCTTAGCCACAACGGGTTGTACGTTATCACCACTATGACCGGATTCAGGGTCCTATTTTCATGGGCCAATTCTTAGTCGGACTTCACTGCAACTGCACGACACGTGTAGTTTGCTGTATATATGTTACTCACCCTCGGTCCATATGCGCAGCGAGAGTTAAGAGTGTCGTGTCTCTCTCTTACCTCTGTTTCTGCTACAGCCAAGCCAAGAAGTTATACTAACAAATTCAGTGCTACAGAGGCTTGATATTTAATAACGTTTCCTCGACCGTTTGTCTTGCGCACTGTGGAGGCATCCACAGCTATGACGGAATGCGAGTATCGTATGCTGCTTTGCCTTTGTCAATATCAGGCTAGCAGAGAAACTGTGGCTCACCCCATAACTGTCCAGCGCATGTGTAATGGAAATCAATATTGCTTCAGTAAGTGTGCATGAGTGCCCTAATGGTTTGCGCCTTAGTGCCTTTCATTGTAATTTGTAGGTATCTTTCCTTTATCCATGTGCCTTTGCAGAACAGGAAAGAGAACATTTCTGGGCCTGCTAAAGGATGGTTATAATTCTGCAGTTCGATATTATTACAACAACTTTAATGATGGGTATAAACAAGTAAGTTAGTTATAGTATATTTGTACATAAGCAAAAATTGGTAGGTTCCTCATGTAAACCTAAGACAAAAAACTTTCCTTATTTCCATATCTAGTCCCTTTATTATGGTTCCCCCACTTCCTCCAGTTCCTTAGCTTACACAAGGAACTTACATGCTAATCTGTAGCCAATCAAGTATAGCCAACCCTATGCAGGCATAATCATCAGGGAGTGGGGGTAAGTGGGTAAGGCAGTTACAGTGCTTGTCTTTAGTATAGTACTGTTGCTGACTTTAGCTATGGATTTTTTGTGGAAATCCCTTGTCTCACCAATTCTTAATACTAACACCACATGACAGTCATGAGAATGAAATTAATCAGTAAAATTGATATGCAATGTGTCTGGGAGCGTACTGCAAAACCAGATAATCCACCAAAAAAGCTTTAACCACTGGTGATTGGATTTTTTGGGGAGAATGTCATTGTCAGACCAGATATTGGTACATACTATTCTGATGGTGGCAGCACCTTTGTTATCTCTGCTGGTAGATGCACAAAATTCAATTAAGTATATAAATTTGCTTGTGCGTGATGTCCAGTAGTCCATTAGACAGTGTTTTTTGTTGACCAGTTCGAAGGTAAAACTCACATTTAACCCTTGGTTCGCATCCATTGGTGTTGCTAGTTAACCCTTGGCGTGCATGCGCACGTCCGTCCGTCCGTCCGTCTGTCTGTTACCACGTTTTCTCCCGCTACGCGCTACAAGACACCAAAAAGTGGTGCCACACTGGCTTTATTTTAAAAATAGCGATTTTGGTAAAAATGTTGCGTTCGAAAGTTATGGCGTGAAACAAAGTGAAGGAGCTAATATGCAAATTAGCACTGGCTTACCTCGGCCAGCTCTGCGTACCTTGGAGGCACCAGAAGTTGCAACGCAGAACGAGTATCAACTCCCGCGTGCTATCTAGCAGTGTAGCAAGCCTGTGACCGACTCTCAGCGAGCTGGTAAGCGACCACGAGTCAGTAAAACGGTAAAATTGGACCAGCCCACCAATTAACAGTGCTGCGCATGCGTACGGTATTAATAGCGTGTACGTCATCTGCATCTATGGGACAAGGCTCTGTAGAAAAGCATTGCAGGTGACCTGCTGAGGCACAGCCTGGCCGAGTAAGAAAATGTTAATATCCTGCTCCTCCCCCACACCATTCAGACATCAGAATGTGCACAGGGTGAGCAAGGAGCTGCGATTGCTAACCTACTGATGTAGCCAGCCCATGATGACATGTAGCTTAGTAGTATGACATGTAGCAGCTTAGTAGTGTGTACATGTACGCATGTGTATACAAATTTATCAGCCCACTGCGCCGAGGGTTAGCACTTCAGTGCCTTCATTAGTATTGTAGTGTGGCCCACTCTAGGTAACTCATATCTTAAAATGTAATTAACATATGACTGATATTGGAAGGTCGAAGCAAATCTGACACCAAACCCCCACCAAGAGGTGGAATTATTTGGAGCGTATGAGTCTTGAGTGTCACTTTCTTAGGTTAACAGTGCTTTGTATGAAACCATGTGTGAAACCATGACTCCTTGTGTGTCTGTCTCTAAATAGACCCCCTCACTCAAACTGCCATTTACCTTTATTGTGAAGGGCAACAACTTTACATTAAAACATTGCTCCGCCTGTGCCTGAATCCTATTTTCCAGTACAGCCAACTGTATTGTACCATAGAGTCCTTATTGTCGCGCATGTGCCAAGAGGGGTAATTACAGTACTTGGTGTATATGTGCGTCGGTCTGTCTGTTTGTCTGCAGCTATTCAGGCACTACTAGCTAAGTGATAGGCCATGCACACAAGCGATTTAAACTAAAAATGATTTTTAAATTTCACTCTATGTACCATATTTGCTTTTGACATTCAAATGTGAGTTAAAGTACCCACATTTTCATAACCTCTTGGCACATTTGATATCTGGTTGTGTACTCAAGATGTAAATAAAAACTGTCATTTAGGATGCTATTGATGTGTTCCTTGGAAATTATGTTGTTAACCGAATGGAAACAAGCTCGATGCCAGATGTACAGAGGGCACAAAAGTATTACTTGGTAAGCTCCTACGTGCTAAGTGAGAGTATACTGTGCCATAACACAATGGTTTTAGGTTTGCCTTTGTCTTGTTGTAGATTTAAATCCCTACTTGCTGCGTTGCCCTTCAACCAACATAACTAAAATATATATACATACATATATATATATATATAAGGCCATGAAATATTTTAGGAATATACATCATTATTGATTACCACATTTTCAATATCATACTACTTGTTTGTAACAATGTTTACTGTATAATACAGCTAATAGCCCCTGGCAGTATATTTTAATTGGCACAGATGTGTTAGTAAAACTAGAGTTATGTGAACGAAACTCTGTGTATTCCGTCACCAACATAAAACACTACAATACATGTTAGTAAACAACAACAAATAGCTTCACACACTATCCCTTATAATAATTTTTTCACTTTTCATGAAACTTTGTATGCATGTGTATTACATCATTTCCAAGATGTATAAATGTGAACAACAACATATAAGGCTCAGCCACTATTACTTCTTTACTCCTCAAGCTCGCTGACGGTAGCATGCATGGAGATAAAACTTCGTGGTACACATATGTATTAGAGCGTTGGTAGACGCTCTATATAGGGATGGTACAGGTCGAATCTCACGTCATCTGTGTACAAAATGCGGCAACAATGACTCCCTAGGCCTTCAAAAATCACTCAAAATTGTCTAATGGCCCATATCTAGCTACCCCAAGACCTCATACGTACCTTGAGTCCTCAACACGAGAAGTCGCTCATACGCGGTTTCACGATTCTTCATCTTCTTCTGTAGACCTGCTGCCTCCTTACCGGAACTAGGTGAATGTTCACAGAACGTCTCCAGATTTTTCTCGTTGCAAGTCACTCTGGTAGATTGTGGAGCTCTTCGTGGTAGATGCTGAATGACGCCATTTGCTGCTAACTCAGCAAACAGTCAGCAGCATGCGTGCGTGCACCCGAGCAACAGTGCCGCGTGCATGTGCCAGGCAGGGCATGCGGAACTCTCAAGGTCACTCTCAAGTCTCCTGTAGAGTAAGTGAAACCTCCGAACATATTCAAACAGCCGTAACTTCTTACGCATACCTTGCAACAAAGTGAATCCTTCTGCAGATTGTCGAGCTTAGTTCACATACAAAGTGAGATACAAAATCGCTTCACCACCGTAATGTTACAGTCATCTTAGCCATCGTGGAAGACCGCAAATATCACATGTTTGACTCATACAACGAACACAGCCAACAACTCTAGTTCTCTACGGCTTGCAAGAGTCAGTCAGAGGGGATAACATCTACTACCTTTATACAGATACACTATAAAACGAGTATTTTCAAAACCCCCACAAACACTGTTACAACACCGCAAACAAACGAATAACACAATATAAATGTCGTAGTGCACAAATTTTCTCGCAAGTAATAAGTAAATCCGTGCACTAAGACATTTATACTAGATGCATCTACACACAGTGCACATCCAAGAGTCAGTAATCTTGCCATCAAGCACACATGAACAATGACACCAGTCACCACATTTGTCACAAGCGATCATCTGCTCGTTAAAAACCTCAACATAATGTGCAATTTCATTCTTCTGAAGCAGCGAGTGGGCCTGAGTATTGTGTGAATACTTTTAGACTTATGAAATGGTCGAAAGTGTTCCTCATTTACACATTCAATGAGGTGCTCATTCATCTTGTGCTGATCAAAGTGCACAGATTCAGGTTTACTGTTGTAAAAGAGTTCATTTGCATAGGCGATAGGCAAAAGGCCACAGCTATGGATTTCTTGCTGTTGAACAGGCACAATTTCTACACGAATAGAGGATTTGGATTGTTGTGACTGTAGATATTTGCCAGTTGAAGTTCAATCTCTAGTGTCTGAGGCTCAACTGTCAAATAATTGCAATGGACCTCCAGGACGACGTGCACTACAAATCCAATGGTGAGCTCCTGCAAGAAAGGTATGTTTAACAGAATAGACCCCAAAATAATAAACAATACCTGTTTAAAGTGTTTGAATGGAGAACACACCATCAGGCATGGAGTTGCCCAGCAGAGACTGGGAAGAGTAGTACTTTGTAAACCTTGAACTTGAAACTGTAACCTCAAAACCATTTGAGCAGCTTTGATAATATTCCCTGTTACATCCATGCCTTTTTGCAGAGTTTGCAGATCAAACTCAAAGAGATCAAGCCTCTGGATCCAGTAGTTAGGGTCAGGATCGGAATCTGAAACCACCACGTACTCGGAATCTGGACAGTGTGAGCATAGATTGATCATGTGACCCAGGCACATGAAACAAAAAGGCCAACAAACAGAGAATAATTTTTAACGTTGATGAAGTACACCACTACTGCATGTGTGTGCACATAAGGAGAACTTTACTATATATACAATACTATGTGCAAGGCATATAGTTATATGTGTGTGAGACACAAGTCAGAAATGACATACTTTCGTCACTTGGCTGCTGAAAAGCTGTAGGTTTTAGGGACACATTAGTCTAGCTGCTCGAGAGCCGCTGGATGTATCTCAGTCGTGTTTGCCTCTACACTGAACTGTTTTTAGTCTTTGTTCTGGAAACAGGACTTGCAGAGCCAATGGAGTAGTTTTCTGCACTTGCACCTCAAAGAAAGTTGGAATCACTTGCTATACAGTGGAAAACTTACCAATCCTCTGCCTTGTTCGAGTTAAAGAAGCTTTCCCTGCCGGCATCTTTGCATTCTTGGACACCGCCATACACAGTATAATACAGGAAAAGTATATGCCTTTTCTATTGTTTTGTTTTTAAATGGGAGGTTCTGATTCCTTCACTCCTTTGATTTGAACACACCACAATTAAATAAATCATGATTACGCTTTTATTCTCACCTGTTACCTGCTCTCCAAAGAGTGATTCTGCAATTATACTTGAAGTAAGCATTATAGCTACCAAACAAATGTGCTCACCCTCTCTTTCTTCAAATTCAGCAAGCAAGTCTTCCTCTATTGTAGCAAAAGCAACTTTTTTGGTTCCTCCATCACCTGAAACTGGGGAGACTGTATTACTACTAGTCATTGCTTTATACCACGCTTTTGGGAAAATCTTGCAAAATTCGTAACAAGTCACAACACACACGCCTGAACAAAACTCCTGGCAGTATTTTCTCCAGGCTGCTTTCAGTGGAGAACAACCACGATCCAGGGCTGTGCAACATGTGTAGTGTTTGGTGCCAGTACAAACACTCTAACTTGATTTTCTTAGCTGCTACGTTTTATGGTAGCAGGAGAGTAATGTGCTGAGTGCCCATCTAAAAGAAGCAACAGCGGCCTTGAAGGCGGAGCATACTGTAAGAAATGGTGAGTAACCCAATTGTAGAAGAGGTCACTACTTATCCGTCCATTCCGAGAAAGGCCGTAACTATAAGTCCCAGGGAATTCATCTTTTTGTCATGGCTTGCTTGGTAAAGGGTCTGATGGTCGAAAATCACAAGGCACACCCAGCAGCACTTGCACAAGCTGTTATATTTACTGGAGATTTATCCCCTCCAGTTACAGATTTTTACAACCACTTTTGGTTACATCTTTCCAACAGGCAGGGTTAAGATGAAGACCAGTCTCATCACAATTAAAAGTAGCACCAGCCTTATCAAAAACTGAATTTTGAAGGAGGCAAGCTTCAAGGATATCAAAATACTTTTTGAAAACCTTCTGGGTCAGTTGCCATCGCACGTGTTAGAGACATGGGCAGCGAAGCACAAAGACAAAGTTGTGAATGACACTCAATTAACCTCTCCGACCATCCCTTGCTAACTGTTTTCTTTCTCAATACCCTTACTGTCAACCATTTGTTGAATGAAAAGCACTGAAGTGCAAACCCTCGGCGCACTGTGACGCGCACGCGTAAGTAAACGCATGCGCCGTACCACTAATTGATGGGCTGGGTTTAGTTTTAACTGTTACTCGTGGTCTCTTGCCAGCTCGCGCAGAGTCTGACGCGGGCTAACTACACTACTAGATAGTATGCGAGAGGCGATACACGCCCTGCGTTGCATCTTCTGGTGCCTTCGAGATACGCAGAGCACGCGGATCGATCCGACTGTGGTAAGCCGTCCCGTCCGTTGTGTATTTGCATATTGGCTTTTTCGCGCTCTAGCTTTGCAACGGAGCAGTTTCAAAGAAAACCGTTTGGAATTTCTGACCTTCATTGCCTGTTAAGTAGGTCGTATCCTTTGTGAGACGAAGAAACACCCGAAAAGTAAGATTGAGAGTAACAGACACACACACACGCACACACAGACCCAACTACTGTAATCCTCGCTGCGCATGCGCGCCGAGGGTTAACTAGAGCAAGAGTCTGACTCTTAGTGTGGGGATAACCAATTTTTGCCACTTCTACAAGAAACCTTGCCAACTCCTCTTCCTCATCACTAAGATAACGTTTTGGGCCAGGTTGGGCACCTACTTCCACCTTGCCTGACATGTGATCATAATTATACGGTGTAGTGGGTGGTATCCCATACATAGGAGCTGATCTTCTATAAGAAAGACCACTCCTGTTTGGCATGAATCGCCTTTTTGACATCAGTCTGTTCCCATGCTTGATATGTGCCATGTGTAAAAACTAATTTGGTTGGGGAATTATGAACAACATTGTGTCCACTAAATAATCCACTGAGAAAGTAGGTGATGGGTGCAATATTGCATCTGTTAAAAAAAAACATGCAAGAGAGAATTATAGCCAATGTACCTGCAATTCACAGAACATTTTGAATGTCAATTATCGTACGTGTACAAAGTCTAAGAAAGCTACGCCAGTTTTCAAATTATTACACTAATAGTTCTAATTGTGGTACACAACAATATCGACAGCTTTTTACAGTGTGCAACCATGGTTTAAAAAATATATAATTGCCATGTTCCAGCGCAGGAATAGCATGACTTGCAGCTAATGGTCAGCAAGTGTTTGTGTTTGCATAATGCGTAGCTATTTTTTTATTGCATGACTGCTTTGCTCATGGAAGGTCTTCGTTTGGCCCGGTTTATGTGGAGAGTGCTTATTGTGGTACTCTGCTGTGGAGGGTCAAAAATCGTTCTTGCAAACGCACAGTCTTCTCACAGCGTAAAATTTGCATTGCCCATAGTTGTCACCCTTTTTATACATGTGGAAAATCAGGGTATTCCTCTGTAAATGGCTCTGTATTTATCCGCCCATTGCATCTTTAACCACTTCGAACAAAATTTACAGGAATAGGCCAGTATCGCGACTGCATAATCAGTGTGAGCGCAATCAAGCGCCAAATCTAGATGCCGAATTTAACCTTTTCACAATCTAGAGCCTTGCTACACCTTTGTAGGCTGCAAACACCTAGCAAATATGTCATCCTCCAGCTGTGCCTGAAATGTTTTTCACGAGCCCACTGCTGCACACAGAAAAGCGGGCCACTCTTTATTGTATGCTGTAGTATATTTTTATTTGAAAATAGATAGGTAGTCTAGCATTTTGAGTTTAAATGCGTCAGCAAAGCAAATTGAGTATGTCCAATTATCGGTGCCTTACCCTTAGCAAAACGGGGTTATACTTTTCGGACATAAGGCCACTTTTTCAACATCATACGTGCTGGAGTGTAGTTCACACACACTGTACCCTTTGCAAATAGATTAATTTTCTACTGGTGACGCACAATGATCCAGCCAATAGAATGCGGGCTCCTCTCAACTCCGGGGTAAACTGGAACCATAGATATAATATCTATGCTGGGACACACTCAGGAACACATTAGGGAGCACGCACATGCTTCTTGAACTTTCCTCCATGTTCTGCACTTCCAATTGAAGCACTCTTTCACGAGTCTGGCTGGCCTGTGGAAGTGCGCTCCCTGTCCGGTTTTTTAACCACGCTGTTCTCTTGTTGACCGGCCGTGGTGAAACATGGCATTCATGGTGTGTTTAAAATACCTGTTTGACAGTGTATTTGTATAAAAGTAGTAGATGTTATCCTAGCAGCCTGACTTTTGCAAGCCGTATAGAACTAGAGTTGTGGGCCATGTTCACGGTATAAGTCAAATGTGTGATATTTGCGGTCTTCGAATGCTATGGCTGTAACATGACGGTGGTAAATCTAACTTGGTAGATGAACTAAGCTCTAACCCACCAAAAAGATTCACTTTGGTGCATGGTGTGCGTTACATGAATATAGATCTGTTCTGCAGCTGATCGGTTTCGAAATTATTTTCCACTCCACGCTGTAAGTAAAAATCAGTTTACACCAACCTAGCCTGCGTTTGCTGTGTTTGTACTGGGAGCAACTTCACGAGAGTCAGTGTGCAGAGTGCTGCTGCGTGTATAGTTATGTGAAGCCTCCATTGTTTGTGCGGTTGTGCCCCAGCTTGGAGCTACATGTATAGCACTGAATACTAAAGCCTGCCTGTGAAACAACCACCCAGTGCAAAGATGCCATAACCTAGGAGACAATGTATGGTCTCTGTCGCTACTGCCTCCTGCTTTAGGTTCAGCAGCAGGCAATTTTGGTACTGCTTAAAACAATTCATCCATGTTCAACCCAAAAACATATCTGAGTTAAAATGATAGCAAATAGTGGAAACAAGTGGGAAAATCATTTCTTCAAAATGAAGGGGATATAAGGATGGCTGGAAGCACCAAAAAGTAAGAATCAAGGGGTTGCTACACAGCAAAGATACACAAGCTACATGACACCATCCCTATATCTTTGTTCTATTGATTCATAAGCAAAAGTATCAAACGAATATATAGGGATGGTGTCATGTAGCTTTGTGTATCTTTGCTGTGTAGCGACCCCTTGATTCTTTCTTTTTTGGTGCTTCCAGCCATCCTTATATCCCTTCATTTTGATGTTTCCATTCATACATCATTTCCACGACGATCACATACAGAACATTTTCATCACGTGATAAAAAATTACGTCATAAACTAGCACGTGTCATGTTGGTGTTCAGCCAGTGTGGAACGCTTATCTTCTTATGCCACAGCTTTAAGCGTCGATGCAAAATACGCTACCAGGAGAAGATTTCTATTCTGAATTGTATTGATCCATTCACAGCTGGCTTGGGAGAGCCGAGAGCCGGTAGTAGCTGTTCCACCCGTAGATGCGAGCGACTTGTTGTTATACTTGGCCTTACAGACTAATTTTATCACCACGAAGC